CGGCCCCGCAGCGCGGCCCCCGCGCAGCCCCCGCGCGCGCACGGCCGCGGCGGGAAGGGCTGCAGCCCGCGTAGCCCTGCGCGCTGCGCGGGTGGCAGGAAACAGGAAAAAGGGAGGAAAGAGGGAAAAATAACAAAGGCAAAAGGCTTGGAAAGCAGAGGGTCCCCTCTGTTGTTACCCTGCAGAGTTACTTGCAGAAGCTCCAAGTTCTCTAAGACCTTCAATAAGTTCTCAAAAAAAAAAAAAAAGAAAAAAAAAGAAAACATAACAACTCCCCCCCAAAAAAACTTGATGTTCCTGATGTGGCTCAAAAGGAAGCAAATGCATCTTCCTTCAGTTCTGAAAAACAGTTTGCACCTTTTATAAATAACCAGCTATTCTGCAGTTCTCTGCTCGCCTAGTCTGCAGCTGCGGTGCAGCCCTAGGCGCTCGTGCCTGCTGCGCTGCAGAGGTGCCGAGGCCTCGGCTGCAGCCGGGCACCGCGGCGCCCCAGGACCCCTCCCCGGTGTGCCTTGGAGGAACCAAGTAATGCGGGCATTAACAAGCGTTGGCTGCTGCCACCCACGTGGGGAGGATCAGTCCTGCCCGTCCCAGCACAGCCCCTGCAGCCCCCTGCTCTCCCCGGGGCTGGGCTGCCTCCATGCGCTACGACCAGACCCCCCTTCGCAGGGAGACGGGCACAAAACACTGTCTTTCAGGCCAACGGTAGCAGGTTCTGTTCCATACATTTAGAAACTCGTCACCTCATCAATGTTGGAAGGATTTTTGTGCTTTAGAGACACTGTAATTAAAGGCAGTGAAACAAGTATTTACCTAAAACCCGGTGGAGCAGCGGGGCCCAGGATGCCTGGAGCCGTCACAGAGCGCAGGCAAGAGTGCCCACAGCCCCGCTCCGTCGCGCGCTCCGCGGTCCCGCTCCCGCGCGGCACCGTTGCAGCTGGAGCTGCCGTGCTGCTCAGGTTAGAGCTCACAGAGCGGCGGCTCTGCGGGCAGCACTGGCAGCCTCAGCCTCCTGCACAGTCGGGCTCGGTGGCACTGCCGATGAGCAGAGAGGCGGCTCCGGGAGGAAAGCAGGAGGGTGGATGCGGCTGCTGCATGACGAGGGTGTCAGGCAACAGTGGCTGACTCGGACATGAGGTAGTTCATAAACTGTTCCCACACAGAAAATGTCTCTTCATGAGTGCCCTGCCCCTGCTTTCTGCCTCCAAGAATGAAGAGCCAAGAGCATACAACAAAGGTCACTCAGAAATGAAAAGCCAGGGAAAAAACACATGGCTTCAAACAGGATATTTTTTTTTTCCAAAAAAGAAAATCGCCAGCGCTCCCTTGACCAGAATTAGGTTGCAGGGAGGTACCTGGAGACATTTTCCCTGTGGCTGAGGATACCCAGCTCGTGCCTGCGCTGCAGCCCGCCCAGCTCTGCCGTCACCAGGGCAGGTCCCTGGTCCCGCATGGCCCTGGGTGTCCCCAGCAGCCCGGCAGGGCAGAGCTCCGAGCCACGGGGTCCGGGGGCTCCCGGGGAGGTCGGGGTTCCCCCGAGGCTCCCCTGTGGCAAGGGATGGGGCCAGGGGGCTCTCGCTGCAGCAGCACCCACAGCCCTTCCCCTGCACTCGCAGGGCTGCCCTGTGGCCCCGCTCCATCGTGGAGCTCTTCTTTTGTGAAGGGCACAGATCTGAGCAGGATGGGAGCTGCTCAGGGGGGATAAAACACTAATTCCGGTATAAGTTTTGTCTTGTATCACTGCATAAAATTTTTCTAAAAAATCAAAAGAACAAAACAGCACAGCAGAGACAAGGAGCTAAGCGTGCTATAAGCAATCTTCAACGTTCCTTAGCAAGAGGATTCTTTTATTCCTCCCAGCTTTTCAACTGGAAAATCCTGGTGGGGACCATGGAAAATTAAGAGCTGAGCCCCGCCTGTGGAAGGGCTCTGGGCCCAGCCCCAGGCCCAGGGGAGGAGGCTGCGCCGGAGCTGGGGGCAGCGCCAGGGTGAGCGGGGCCGAGCGGCTGCTGCCACCGAGACGGCAGCGGCCGCGCGGGAGCAGTGCCGCGGCCACCGCGCACAACAGCGAGCTCCTAAACTGACCCCCTACCTGCAGTATTACAGTGTTACTGCGACTTTTTTTTCTTTTGTAAACAGCAAAATTGAAAAAAATCACTAAGTGTTGGAGGAGAAGGAGCAGTTTTTCACACATGGGGAAGGGGAAGCCATTTTCACCGGGTGAAGCGTTTAAAGCCACATTCTACAAAAGTAATTTGCATCTTATGCTCAGCGAAATGAATGCAAAGTTTCGACTTGAAGAGATTAAAGCACTTTAGCAGTAACTTCTGAGACATAATTTATAATGAGAAAGCAGACACCTTTGACGCATGTTGCAGCATAAAAATCCTGCAGTTATTTTGTCCTTTATTTCTAATCCTTGAGCTTTTCCCCTACAAATGCTTCTGCTGCAACCATTTGATCAAGTTAAGGATCTAATACATCTTTAGTGAGCACGTTAAAGCAAAAGAAGAAATGACCTTCACCAAGCTAGAACAGAAACATTTGTTTTTAATTTTGGAAAGGTCCATAATAGCATCAGTAGGGCAACACTAAATCACAAATCACACGGTCCGTACCAAGCCAGCCTGGTTCGTAAGAGTGTAACCCCCACCAGTATCAGACCGTGGCATTAACAAAATAAAGGGCAGACACTATAGGGAGCTAAAACAATTCCTGCAGTGAAAGTCATTATGATAGCAAGAAGTTCAAATTAATCCTTTTTTCCATTTCATTTGGTTGAAGAAGGGTATGAAATTTTATAAGCAGCTACAAAGCCGGCTCCGATTCTTGCACAATTTAAAATTTAGCAAGTAACAAATAATGATAAGTGAATGTGAACTACAAGTACAACATTAAAAATGGCAAAACTAATCAGAAATCCCCACCATTGAAAGCTGTAATTGGATTCTGTGCTCTCCTGCTGTTGCAGAGCAGCTGCTCCTCCCTGCGCTGGGAGCATCGGAACAGCGGCCGTGACACTGCCCTTGTCGTGCCACCCTCCGGGGCCAAGGAAAACCGGGGTCCAGGCAGCCCCAGTGTTCAAGGTACAGAAAGGATCCTGTTTTGAAAAACAGGAGTTTTATATATATTTATTCTGTGCAGGTGGGCTCAAGCACCATACAGAACGCAACCGAAATCAATGGGGTCCGGTGCAGCTGCAGCGGTCGATCCTCCTGGAACAGGTTTCAGACCTTGTAGTTCAGTTATCATTTTAAGCAGCTCGATATCAATGAATATTTAATAGCTTTATTTGCAGAACATTTATGCAGTCAGCTTTCAACTCGCACCAAGTTTTGGCCTTGCTTTTCTGAAGTAATCTACGCTCTTGAAGACCCACAGCAACTTAGAGCCCTTGAAGATCTACCCCCATGATTTCTAAGGCCAAAAAACTACCATAAAAGAGAGCCCCAGTGCAGTGAAATGCTTAAGTATTTGCTTGATTTTAATTATGGACTCAAACTGGCTGCAGTAAAACAAAAATGCCCTTTGAGGTGAAAGCATTTAATTTTTTTTTTCAAATAATTTCTAGGGGAAATTCCTTGGGTTGGTGCCTGCAAGCCAGCTCTCCGAGGGGCAGAGCCCGGTTCAGGCTGCCGCAGCTCTGGGCCAGGCCTGGGTGCGAAACCAGCGGAATAAAAACTAAGTGACAGTATTAGCTCTGCGAAAGAGGAACATTTGCAGCTGAACAGATGCAACCCCTCACAGATTTGTCCAGCTATTTCACCGTGATTTTTCCACTCTCTGTCTTATTTCATGCAAGGCTAATTTAGTCTCATCACCACTCAGTATACTGGAACACGCACATTAACTAATGACACTATCCTTTCTCCAGTAAAGCCACTAAGCCTGCAAAATATATTTGTTTCTTGTCCAGTTTAACTTTTTAAATATTAGATCTTGTTTGCTACGATGGAGCATTTTTCCCATGCTGGTATTTATATGTTATCATCTAATCATCTCTCAGATATAAATAAGGCAGCTATATTTACCTCAAAGGCTACAATAAGCGATGTAAAAACTGAGGGTTAAGTAACAGTGATCAACCCCTCTAATTCAGGTTATGAGAAAAAAAAATACATTTTTGCATTTCATGCATGAATATTTTATGCATTAGTTTAATATTTTATGATAGTTTAACATTTTGTAGTTAATAATTATATTAAAGACCTTTGTATTTAATATTTACAGGACCTAAATCAGCGCTAGCTGAGAGATTCCTCCCTGCTAAATTGTATTCTT